CATTATCACGGTCCAGGACATTTACTGATGAAGCAGATGAACTCCACATGAAGCAGAAGCCAACAAGACGGAGACCAGCACGGAAGAAGATACGTCCCGTAAAATTAAGAGACTTTGTCGAATTGTAATTTTGTGTTTGTAATTCTGTACATTTAATTAAGTTATTGTTAATTGTTATTGGTTTATTGTATGTGGTTATTGTTCGGGACGAACAATACTAAGGAGGGGGTAGTGTTGCGTCAGGGGGTCACGTGACTATTGTCACGCCGCCTATTTTCTATATCTTGTTCCTTCGTGAATGCCCTAGCATTTACTAGATATATGTTTTTCTGATATATAAATAGGACGCTCACAACGTGACAATAATGTGTGTGTAGATAGTGAGTAATTGAACTGAAGTCAGAAGTATTGTTGACGTTCGTTGATATAGCGTTTGTTATAGAGCGATTGTTGAAAATAAGTGTATCGTAAAGTTGTATTCTGAAAGAATAAACCAGTTTTATTAAGTAAGGACTTGTGTCGCTAAAGTTTCGTCGGAACGAAGTTACGGAAAATCAATTAACAAACAGAGACGTAACAATATTATTACAAAATCTTCTTTTCTTTCACACATATAAGTCCTTAGATTTAATAAAATAACCATAAAAATCTTGAACTGCATCACATTATTAGAATACACTAAATTAAAACATAAGAGGCCGAACTTGTGTAGATGTGGGACGGTTAATTCATGATATGTTAAAGCTGGTAGTAATGTATTTTTCAGACCACTGATATATGTTATAGGTGATTCTGAAGGGCATTACCTCAAATAGAGTTTTACTATTTTTATTTAGTGAAATTTAATCGGACTAATTACTCAATTCTTATAGGCTGAATAAAAATATCCATACATGCGAAAAATAAAGTAACTATGTATATAAATCGTAATATCTGCTATATTTATATGGTTTTAATAATTCATTGTTACTCATTGGATCTAGTTGTTCGGAATAAATTGACATTCATATGCTGGTAGAGGAAAATATCATAGCAAATTCGTGGTCTCACAGATTGTATTGTTACAACCTTTTTTTTTCTTTTGTCAATTATCCAATCAAGTGACAAAAACTGTGTTACACTGTATAGTGGCGTCATCTCCCGATGAAATTTGTAACACTAGTAAAGGTACTGAGAATCTGCAGATCAGGGTATTTGATTTTTTCTGACTCTAAGTATTTGCTATACATTTAAATAATGTTCAACAGAATCATATTTTATTACTTTGTCGCGTTGGTATTGTTACAGTTGATAAAATAGTTATATGACGTCAAATATGTGTGATTAAATACATTTGTATATTATTACACCTTATTTTAGTTCCATAATAACTTGTAAGCAACAGATGTGTTCATTATAATAATACTTATATACTTTATATTAATCCATATACATATATGTGTGTTTGTGTGTGTGTGTGCATGCGCATGCATGCGTGCGTAATAATGAGGCAAAACGTTTTTGTACAATAATGTTCCTTTTTGGTATCAGGCGAAACATTTTACATAAATACAAATTATCAGCAAACACAGAGAAGAGAGGCAGTCATTTCGACTTATTCATATACGTAATTGGAATGTTGGTGGTCACGCTACAAAGTCAGTACATTGCAATGATTGCGTGACTTTTAATAACCTCTAGTCCACACTGACCTTAAAATCAACATGGACCTTAGAACAGTAACAAGGAATATTTTCAGGTAATAAACTTCATTAAATTCTGCTTATGGTCGAGAAAGCCTACTTTAACCCTCAAGATCTTTTACGCTTTGGTGAAGATCACCAGAATTGGCAGCAGCGGCATTCAACACCCGTACTTTTTCAGGGGTTAAGACTGAGATTATTACCGAAAATGTCAAGAACATTGACTAGATCTAATTGGTTAATGGATGCATTCTAATCATTCAGTTGTTGTTTTATGCCATTACTTACCCTCATTTAGACCGATATATTAAGCTAGCTACATGGTAGCTTTCTTTGGTCTGAAATTCTATATGTATCAATATATATATATATACATAATTTTGTCTTTCTTCCAAAAATCTACAGGCTCCTAGTTGGAGAACCAGAGGCGAATGACGCAGGTAATAAAGTTGATTATGATAGTTTTAGTGGTGCAATTATATTGTGGGAAACATCAGTGAAAATTGGCGTATATATCATATTGTACTGCCAACGAACGTATTAACTACTCCACGATGCATTAACATGATATTTATTAGACTCAGCTTTAAAATATTTGGAGGGTTCAGTCAAACCAGACTTTGTACTAATACAGCATTATGTCTGGTATTATATTACCAGGATTACGGTGGCCTACTTTGAAGAAGGGTTCATTACTTCCGTCACCGATGTTTTCATCCCTGTATGTGTGTTTATGTGTAACTCAGTCAAAAACTAAAGAGATACTCAGTAGAG